CAAGACACTGTGCCTTTGCTTGTATATTTCCACTGTCTTCCAGCCTAAAACCCAGCCAGTCCTAACACTGACTGACTGCCCATGTATGTTACATAAGACCCCCATGCTGGGCAGGGATACTGAGATAAGTTAGACACAATCACACATCACTGGAAGCACCTGCAACAGAGAGAGAGATAGCAACAGATGATTTCAGAACAGCGTTTGTGCCTGTCTACAGACACCCACTCTCAGAAGGGGAAACCTAATTCAGTTCCCAAGAACCTACCAGGTACTACCCTTCAAAGGAATAACGGTCTCCACTTCACAGACTGACTTTCAAGGCCAAAGTCAGACAGGAACCAGCAGGACCAGGACCAGACCCCAGGTTTGGCTGACATCACTATCTCCCTTATCTCAAGGAGGCAGAGGCCCCTTGAAAATGTCCTTTTGCACGAGCTCTGAAATATCTACTAAATGTAGGTCATTATGGCTGAAAATGCATTTTCCCCTTGTCCTTTCAGCTGCTCTGTAAGTTTGGGCTGTATCCTGACGTTCATCTGCCCCAGCCCTAGCCAACTGCTGGCGAACAGATCACAGGGTTGACCCTTGGAATTGGAAGGCATTCTACACACAGTGTCTCTTCCAGGTGCTTTTTCTCATCAACCATTAAACCACAAACAGGCCAAGTGACAAAGCACTCAGTTCCTTCACATGGTCATTCCTTCCCCCTTCTGCTTCGCCTGATGCAGAAGAATTTGTCAGTCAAACTTGAACATTACAAGAATATGCAACAGAAAGAATTAGAGAACTCAGCAATCCAAAAGCTGCTAGATGAGGGTTTTCTGCATTTTGGGGGGTAATGTAAAGCAGTTCCAAGAAAAGTGAAGTCACAGCCTCTGCAACTTATTTTCAGTTCTTAGAAAAGAGCCAGTGTTGAAGGGGAAGCGGCTCTGCCCCAGCACACAGACTCCACTGTCTGGCAGGGGCATTTGCTGATAAACCAGCTTGGATTTGGCACCAGAAACCCAAAACCTCTGACGTGTTTTCATTTGGTGATGTCAAGGAGGAAACACAGGCCAAAACCGTGAAAGTTATTAACATTCAGAGAAACCACACAGCTCAGCTAACAGGCTGGGGTGACACCCTTCCAGCACCAAGCTACCAGCAGTTTCAAGGTGACTGTCAGAAAAACACAGTGGCCTCCTTTTTCTATCCCACCCCCCTCATACATTCCTGAGATGTGTTGTCGCTCAGACCACCATGTCAGCCCAACCAGCATTTTTCAGTGGGCATTATTTACCAGAAGTTGAGGGAGGACAAACGGGGCAGGATATGGTACAGGTGGTTTTTGGCAGCTTGGGCCTGTTTTCTGGCATACAAGCAGGTTTTGCCACAGTAGGGCAGACTTCAGGTTAAGATCTCGGGAGTCTACTACACAACCAGCTCAGGGGCTACAACCGGGTGCCCTATAATAATTTTGTAAATAAGGTTTGCCTTTTTTGTGGGGGGGATAGAATCTGGCATCCAGGCTGGGGTATGGTCATGCAATCTCAGCTCACTTTAACCTCCACCTCCCGGGTTCAAGAAATTCTCATGTCTCAGCATCCAGAGTAGCTGGGGTTACAGGTGTGTGCCACCATGCCTGGCAAACCTTTTGTATTTTTAGTAGAGACAGGGGTCTCACTATGTTTCCCAGGCTGGTCTTGAACTCCTGGCCTCCAGTGATCAGTCCACCTCGACCTCCCAAAGCGTTGGGATTACAGACATGAGCCACTGCACCCAGCCATTGTGACTAAATTTTAACCTAAGAATTCTGCAACAGAGATGTTGTTGTCTGTTACATTGAAATTAAATTTCAATGTAATCAAAAGAAACTCATCAAGTGACACAGCCAGGGAGAGTGCCTAAGGAGAAATGATAATGAAATGGAATGCGGTGTCCCAGCTGGGACCCTGGAACAGGAAAGGTCTTTAGGAATAACCCAAGAAATCTGAATGAAGTACAGACAGGTTCATAAAAGCATCTCGATATTTGTTCATTCATTTTAACAAATGCACCATACAAATGTAAGATGTTAATAGGGGAAGCTGGGTACAGGTACATGGGAACCCTTTGTACTATCTCTGCAATTTCTCTGTCTCTCTGTCTCTCTCTCTCTCTCTCTGTGTGTGTGTGTGTGTGTGTGTGTGTGTGCGTGTGTGTAGACAAGCCAGAATGTACTGATCCTCCTAGCAATAATGATTTGGTATCTACCAAGTGTCACATACCATGTAAAAGCGATCTGCTCATAGCTTGATTTATTCCTCACACCAGTGCTATGAGCTGGGCATAATCTGCATTTTACAGATAAAGAAACTGAAGAACAGAGAGATTAGGTACTTTGCTCATAGTCGCAAGGTTAGTGGCAGATAACCTCAAATTCAGGTTGGCAGGGCAGCTCAGCAACATTGCCTCAAAAAATCCCAAACTGTGAACATAAAACAGTTCAAAACAAGCTTCATGTGGGCAATGAAAGCAAGTCACACTTTCCAATCTGCCCCAGTTTAAAAAGAAAAGAGTTTAAAAGTGGAGCACAGGCCAGGTACATACCTGTAATCCCAGCACTCTGGGAGCCCAAGGCAGTCGGATGATGAAGTCAAGAGATTGAGACCATTCTGACAAAAACTGTGAAACCCCATCTCTACTAAAAATACTTTTTTAAAAAATTAGCTGGGTGTGGTGGCGCGTGTCTGTATTCCCAGCTACTCGGGAGGCTGAGCCAGGGAATAGCTTGAACCTGGGCGGGGGAGGTTGAAGTGAGCTGAGATTTTGGCACTGCACTCCAGCCTGGGAGACATAGTGAGACTCCCTCTTAAAAAAAAGAAAAATTGGGGGGACCGGATGCGGTGACTCACACCTGTAATCTCAGTACTTTGGGACGCCTATGTGGGTGGATCACCAGAGGTCAGGAGTTCGAGACCAGCCTAGCCAACAAGAAGAAATATATAAAAACTAAAAATTTTAGTTTCTACTAAAAATACAAAAATATATATATATATAGACACATATACATGTGTATATATTTTTTAGCTGGGCAGTCACCACTACCCCATTCACCACCAATTTTTGTTGATGTCTCTTGCTTTTTTTTTTATTTGGAAATGGAGTCTCACTCTGTGGAGCCTTCCAGGCTGGAGTGCAGTGGTGTGATCTCGGCTTACTGCAACCTCCACCTCCTGGGTTTAAGCGATTCTTCTTAACTCAGCTTCACAAGTAGCTGGAACTACAGGCAAGGACCACCATACCTGGCTAATTTTTGTATTTTTAGTAGGGATGGGGATGGGGTTTCACCATGTTGGCCAGGATGGTCTCGAACTCCTCACCTCCAGTCATCCACCTGCCTTGGGTTCCCAAAGTGCTAGGATTACAGATGTAAGCCACCATGCCTGGATTTTTTTTTTTTTTTTTGAGATGGGGTCTTCCTATGTTTCCCAGGTAGGCTCTCAAGCAATTCTTCCACCTCAGCCTCCTGAGTTGCTGAGATTATAGGTGAGTGTCACCTTGCCTGACACTAGAAGCATGATTTTGTCACCACAGACCCCTCTCATTCCCTTTCATAGGAAGTCACTGAGCACCAGAGAGGCTAGAGCCAAGAACTAGGGACACCGATCTTTGAACTCATTTCTGTTGGGTGCCAAATTTTTCTGTGCCTCTGTGATATAGCTACCTATAGTTAGAACCTGTACACTGCCATTTTATAAGGAGACGAAACTGTTTCCATTCTCCTCACAATGACTGCTAGCCATGGCCTCTGTAAACTGCTAAGTTTACTTTGCAAAATGCAAAGAGAGGTAAAGCTGCATACCTTCTCTTATCTGTAACTTCCAAAATTGCCGGCCTCTGATTACCAGTACTGACCAGAGTAAGCACCCCCAGATAATTCCATTCTAGTGCCATGCAACTAAAAAATCTGTGGACCCCCACACCTGTCCAAATAATGTATAAACTAATGTTTATCTTGACTTCTGTAAACCACTTAAGTGGCAATTGGAATGACAAAAGTCCCTTGGCCCTTGGAATGTCTGGAGCCCCCTCACCCTTGTCTCAGCCTAGAAGGTGATTGACAGCTTTCATTCTCATCTCCACTCCTCACCCCCACTCCCAAAGTGGTTTTGTGGGTATAAAAGGGTCTTGTCACTCTTCTTTCTCTGCCACGGGTTGGAGAGATGTGAGTCCTTCATGGTCGCCAGCAATAAACCCTGCAATTTGGCATACTTCTGTCTTGGTGTTGACTTTCTGTGCTCGGACTGATACAACACCTCCTTCTGGGAAAATTGGAGGTCACAAGATACAGTGGCTCACACCTATAATCCCAGAACTTTAGGAGGCCTGGGTGGGTGGATCACCCAAGGCCATTGCAGTCCAGCCTGGACAACAAGAGTGCAACTGTCTTAAAAAAAAAAAAAAAGAGAGAGAGAGAGAGGGAGAGAGAGGGAGACAAAGAAAGAGAGAGAGGCTTTGGTCCATTTGTCTGCCACACTCTGGAGTAATTCTGTCCCTGCTTGAATGTGATCTCCTCAAGGCAAAGTCTGGGTCTCCTTTCTCTTGCACACCCACCCTGTCCTGTCTGTCACACACCAGCTGCTCAATGAAGGTTCGCCCATGTAGAGTATGGGTTTGAGGCATCCCAAGACTTGGAGTTGTAGAAGATGTGAGTGAGAAGCCTTGGAATGCTCTGCCCATTGGGAAATGTGTCTATCCCAGAGTTCAGCTGAGAAGCTGTGCTCTTTCCGATTTCAGTGCTCAGAGCTCCCCTACCCAGGGTGGAACCTTGGATGGCCAAGTACGTTGGCTCAATATTTGCCTTGAGTAGCTGGGTGCAGTGGCTCCAGCAACTGTTGGATCTGTAATCCCAGCACTTTGAGAGGCTGAGGCAGGAGAATGGTTTGAGGCCAGGAGTTCAAGACCATCTGGGGCTATTTGGAAAACTCTGTCCCTGTCATGAAAGCTCTCCCTCCCCCCCACACACAAAGAGGCTCCCTTATCTTTCACTCTACATACCGTTCTGGCCTTCCCGCCCAGCTGCAGCCACCTCCCGTCCGACAACCGGCTGACTAATCACCACCTGCCTCATCAGCTCTCCCCAGCTTCCCGCCGCCCAGCTTCCCGCAGAGGGTAAGTCAGACAAGTGGTGCCAAAACCCGGGAGCTGGGGCCGTTGGCCCGGCCACGGCCCTCTCCCCTGACCTACCCAACACTGGCCCTGCCACCTCCATGCTCCGATTAAGGTAAGCCAAGTTTTTTCTTGCTTTACCTCCCCCCCCCCACGGCACGGTGCAGTTGCTCCCCTCCGGCGTTCTGCACGGACTCCTCGCCTAGTCTCGGCTGAGCCGAGGAAGTCCTCCATTCCAGCTCCAGGAGCCTTCGGAGGGGTAGCTGCCAGACGGGGGACGCCCCTCTGACCGCTTCCCTAACCGTACTTAACTGTACTCCAGGGAATTTGCAACGAAAGGGGGCGCCTTTTCTTTGCATCTACCCAACCGCGCCAGAGGGTCTGTAGCTGCGCCCGCCATGGGAAATTTGGAGTCCAAAATACCTTCCAGCACCCCCCTTGGGTGCTTGCTGCAAAATTTTACCAAATTGGAATACTCCCAAACCCTCAGAAAGAAAAAGCTTGTCTTCCTGTCCCAGGTGGCTTGGCCCCAATACAAACTCAGTAACCAGTCACATTGGCCCCTGACTGGCACTTTCGATTTCAACACCCTCTGAGATCTCGACAATTTTTGTTGCCACACAGGCAAAGACAATGAAATTCCTTACGTTCAGGCTTTTTGGTACCTCCGTACCCACCCTGACCTATGTTCTTCCTGCTCCACCTACCAAATCCTCTTAGCTTGTAGCCCTCATAAATCTTCCTCCACTACCTCTCCCCCTCCCTACTCCTCACCGGAAGATCTGCCTGAACATCTGTCCCCTCCTGCCAACCTCGGCAACCAGTCGCCTTCGACAACACACTCTTCCCCCACTCCCTCTGCAACTCCTACCTCAGAGGCCATGCCTTGCCCTTCCTCCACTCCCTCTGGGCCCCCTCCCTCGGAGGCCGCACTTCCTCTTGCCTCCCCGGTGGCAGCCCACACCCGCTCTCACCAACCAACTATCCTGGCCCCACTCCAAGAAGTAGCAGGCACTGAAGCAGATAAAGATCATGCTATAGATAACCAGATCCCCCTAGGCCCCGAAGTAATCCCAAGTGAAGACCCCCAATGGGACTATCAGGCTAGTCGAGGGTCTGATATACCCAAGAGAGACCGCATGATTAGATACCTCCTCAGGAGAATGGATACTGTATCTAACAAAGTTGTAAACTATGATAAACTAAGAGAAGTCACCCAACTACCCAATGAAAACCCTGCCCTGTTTCTCACCCGTCTTCAAGATGCCCTTACCTGCTTTACTCACCTAGACCCAGCCTCACAAAATGGGGTGACTGTCCTAGCATCTCATTTCATATCTCAGTCCGCCCCTGATATCTGGAAAAAACTGAAGAAGGTAGGAGATAGCCCCGAAACCCCTATACAGGACTTGGTAAAAATGGCCTTTAAAGTATTCAATGCCAGGGAGGATGCAGCTGAGGCTGCCCGCCAAACTCGCATGAAGCAGAAAGTCGCTCTACAGACGCAAGCCCTAGTAGCAGCCCTTCGGCCGGCAGAAATAACAAGGGTAAAGCAAATACCCGCACCCCTCCTGGGGCATGTTTCAAATGTGGAAAAGAAGGGCACTGGTCAAAAGCCTTCCCCCAGCCATGGCCTCCTACCAAGACCTGCCCTATTGTCAGCTCATGGGACACTGGAAGTCGGATTGCCCTAACTCACCTCAGGCCTCAGTTCCTCAAAACTCTGGCACGAGGGGGCAGCAGGGCAACATCCCCCAGAGCCAGGCTTCTGCCTCAGCTGGTCAGGAGCCAGGCATTCAGGAATCTCCAATCCCAAAGCTGTTAGGGTTCAGGGATGATTAACAGGGCCCTGGCTCCTCAACCTCAGTTACCCTTGCTGAGCCCAGGGTCATGCTCCAGGTAACGGGTAAGAGTATACACGGGGGCTACCTACTCCGTTCTTCCCTCCTTTTCAGGCAAAACCACCCCTTCCCAGGTCCCTGTTATAGGAATTGATGGGTCCCCCTCCACTCCTCACCAAACTCCACCCTTAACCTGTCTGTTTAGCCCTTCCATTTTTACCCACTCCTTTCTAGTCATTCCTTCTTGCCCTGTACCTCTCCTAGGGTGAGATATCCTAGTAAAATTGCAAGCTACCATTACTTTTCCACACACAGAGACCTTCCTCTTACCCCTCATCGCCAACTCACCTCCCCCGCTTCCTCCGGCCGAACTCCTCCCTGATGTAAATCCCAAAGTATGGGATACTGATACCCCCACTGTAGCCTCACACCACTAACCCATACTCATACACCTAAAAGACCCCACAGCCTTCCCTTCTTGCCCTCAGTTTCCTATCTCCAAAGTTCACCACCTCGGCCTCCTACCTATCATAAATAAACTGAAAGCTCAAGGACTACTTATTCCTGCAAACTCCCCCTGCAACACTCCCATTCTGCCTGTGAAAAAGCCCTCAGGTCAGTACCGCCTGGTCCAAGACCTCCACCTTATCAATGCAGCAGTCATTCTGGTCCATCCAGTAGTCCCCAACCCCTATACCATCCTCTCACATATCCCACCGTCCACAACCCACTTTTCAGTCCTAGATCTTAGGGATGCTTTTTTCTCTATCCCGCTACACCCCGACTCCTACTTCCTCTTTGCTTTTACCTAGAAAGATCCTGTCACCAATCTGTCTCAACAGTTAACATGGACGGTCCTCCCTCAAGGCTTCCGGGACAGCCCCCACCTGTTCAGCCAGGCCCTGGCGACAGACCTGCAGCAATGTAACATCTCCCCTTCTTCCTTACTCCAGCTGGATCAAAGCTTTCCCCACAGCTTATAAAACCGCAGGAGTTGTAGCTGAGCACCTCATCCGGGACATCATTCCCCGATTCGGCCTTCCTTCTACCATCCAGTCAGACAATGAACCTGCCTTTATTTCTAAGATCACCACTGCTGTTTCCACATCCTTAGGGATTCAGTGGAAACTGCATGCAGCCTACCATCCCCAATCCTCGGGTAAAGTAGAACAGGCCAACGGCCTCATCAAAGAACACCTAACAAAACTTGCCCTCGAACTCCGCCAGTCCTAGGTTACCCTACTTCCTATCGCTTTGACAAGGCTCCAAGCAAGCCCCCGGGGCCCCTCACAACTCAGCCCTTTTGAGCTGCTATACGGACGGCCCTTCTTACTCTCCTCCCCACTACCACCAGACCCCCCTCCTCTATCTACCTACCTCCAAACCAGCAAATAACAGTCTGCTATGCGAACAGCTCTCCCACCTGCAACCGAACTATACCCATAACCACCAATCACCGCTCCTCACAGAACCTTTTTATGGTGCAACAGAACACTTTTTAAAACCCTCAACCCCTCTACACACTCCCGCAGCCTATGCTTACCAGTAACCCTCGTACCCCATTAACCATTTACTCCCCAGCAGAGTTCCAACAACAATTCATACATCATCGTGTATGATGGGCCGCCTTTTTCACCTCATGGTAAGTCTCTCTCTCGCTGGATCAGCCATAGGAGCTGGACTGGGGGGAGGAGCCCTAGCCCACTCCCATCAGGCCCTAGCACCACTAACCTCTCAATTTCAGGCCGCCATCGACAATTCTGCAGAATCTTTAGCCTCTCTCCAAAGACAGATCACCTCAGTGGCTCAAGTCGCCCTACAAAATCACCGGGCGTTAGACCTCCTCACTGCCGAGCGAGGAAGAACCTGCATCTTCCTACAAGAAGAGTGCTGCTACTACATTAATGAATCCGGCCTAGTAGAAACCCGAATCGAGAACCTCCAGAAACTTAAAGTTAACCTGCCGAATCAAAAATTCTCAGCTGAAGCCACAGCATAGTAATCTTCCTCTATGTATACCCTCTTGTCCCCGTTGCTTGGGCCCCTGATAGCCGTTTGCCTAATCTTACTTATTGCTCCTTGTTTTCTACAGTTCCTACAATGGTGCTTTCAAGAACTAGCTCGAGTCACCATCCACCAAATGCTGCTCCAACCTTACCCCGAACAAGTGCTGGAAGCAGACCTCTCCCGGAACATCCAGGCTCCTTAAGAAAAGAAACCTCTTCAAAACCCCCCGTCGATCCTTGTCAGCAGGAAGTCGCCAGAGAGACAACCGACGCCCCTGTCCCCCCTCTCTTTTCTTTTCTTTAAGGAGTCGGGAATGTTTGGAAAACTCTGTCCCTGTCATGAAAGCTCTCCCCCCACACACACAAAGAGGCTCCCTTATCTTTCACTCTACATACCGTCCTGGCCTTCCCGTCCAGCTGCAGCCACCTCCTGTCTGACAACCGGCTGACCAATCACCACCTGCCTCATCAGCTCTCCCCAGCTTCCCGCCGCCCAGCTTCCCACTGCCCGGCTTCCCCGCCCGGCAGTTTAAACTGGCCAACCGTTGCCCGCCACCTCGGCTCTCCCGGCCTTCCCACTCCCTTGGCCCTTCAGCCCCCTATAAAAGAACCCTGCTCCTCTGAGCACGCACGGCCATTTTCCTTTTCTTCCCGGCTGGCCCGCCCGGAGGCTCTTTCCTCTCAATAAAGCCTGAACTTAAGACTTTCTTCTAACCTGCAGCCCGGTTTTTTCTGAACGAGCTCAATCCTCCCGCAGAGGGTAAGTCAGACAGGGGCAACAAAATGAGACCCCATCTTTACAAAATATTTTAAAAGTAGCCAAGAAGCTGAGGTGGGAGGATTGCTTGAGTCCAGGAGTTTGAGGCTAGAGTGAGCTGGTATCATGCCACTGCACTCCAGCCCAGGTGGCAGAGCAAGACCCTACCTAAAAAAAAAAAAAAACAAAAAAAACCCCAAAACCAAAAAACAACAAAAATTTTTGCCTAGAAACTGAAGCCTAAGGAGGAGAATGGGGTGCCCATTTTGACAAATGAGAAAACTCAGCTCAGGGTAGAAACAGACCAAGAAATTGACTCGTGAAAAGGGCAAAGCTATTCATGCAGCATTTATTTACTCCTTCATTTATTTGTCACCTAGCCTCCAGCATGGACTGACTATGCCCTCAGGCCCAGCCCTGTGCTGGGGGAACAGTGGGAATCAGACCCAGCTCCTGCCTTAGGGAGCTCATGGTGGGCTGGAGGGACAGGTGTGAAAGCACTGAGGGACATGAGGATGTGCCTGGGGCAGTGGCACTGGGGTGTGGTCACCCATAGTGGATCCTCATGGCCTGAGCCTGGGTAACCCCTACAACCCTTAAAAGCAGGACCTGGGGTCAGGACTGTTGAGCAGGAGGATTCTTTGGGGAAGTGGATCCAGGGAGCCGTCTGCAGGACTGGGAGGGTGAAGGAGAGAGAAAAGCAAGAACAGGGTGTGCCACAGAGATGGCCACACTAAGGGCAACGAAGGCCTAACCCAAAGAAATTGTAACTGCCCAACAGGTTCATTTAGCCTTCTGCCTAGACAGAGCCAACTTATCAGGACATGGGACTTGCAATGGAGGAATAATTCATGCAGAGCCAGTTATGTGGGAGATTGGAGTTTGTTTTCAATTTAAGTTGTACTTTGTCACCCAGGCTGGAGTGCAGCTGCATGATCTCTGCTCAATGTAACCTCTGCCTCCCAGGTTGAAGAGATTCTCCTGCCTCAGCCTCCTGAGTAGCTGGGAGTACAAGTGGGCACCATTATGCCCAGCTAATTTTTGTATTTCTTTTCCAAGATGGAGTTTCACTCTTGTTGCCCAGGCTGGAGTGAAATGGCACGATCTCCGCTTACTGCAACTTCTGCTTCCTGGGTTTAAGTGATTCTCCTGCCTCAGTCTCCTGCCTCAGTCTCCTGAGTAGCTGGATTACAGGTATGTGCCACCACCGCCGGCTAATTTTGGATTTTTAGGAGAGACAGGGTTTCTCCACGTTGGTCAGGGTAGCCTTGAACTCCTGATAGCAGGTGATCCACCCTCCTTGGCCTCCCTAAGTGCTGGGATTATAGGTGTGAGCCATCACACCAGCCTGGAGTTTGATATTACTCAAGGCAGTCTTCTAGAGCAGATCAGGGATTAGAGTTTTTAAAGATGACCTAGTGAGTGGAGGGGGCCAGCAAGGGGAGTGCTGATTGTTGGGTCAGAGATGAAGTCATAGGGAATGGAATGTGTCCCCAAGCTGAATCAGTTCCTGGGTGGGGCCCACAAAATCTGATGTACCTGTTTTTCCATCTGGGTTATGCCAGCTGATACACTGAGTATGGGGTCTGCAAAATAGCTCAAGCACCGATTTTACGTTTTACAAAAGTGATGTTATCCCCAGGAGCAATTTGGGGAGGGTTGGAATCTTGTAGCCTCCAGCTGCGTGAACCCATTAGAAACCACAGTTTCTAATCTTTTGGCTAACTTGTTAGTTCTACAAAAGCAGTCTAGTCCCCAGGCAAGAAGGTGGTTTTAGGAAAGGGCTGTTACTGTCTTTGTTTCTAATTGTAAACTATTAACTAAGTTCTTCCCAAAGTTAATTTGGCCTACACCCAGGAATAAACAAGGACAGCTTGGAGGTTAGAAGTATGATGATGGAGTCGGTTAGATCAAATATCTTTCACCGTCTCACTTATAATTTTGCAGTGGCGATTTCAGAATTCCCAGGGACTCATCTAGCAATGTATTATAGGCCAGGTGTGGCTCACACCTCTAATCCCAGAACTTTAAGAGACTGAGTCATGAGGATCACTTGAGGCCAGGAGTTCAAGACCAGCCTGGTTAACACAGTGAAACTCTGTCTCTACTAAAAATACAAAATTTACCTGGGTGTGGTGAGGCATGTCTGTAATCCCAGCTACTCAGGAGACTGAGACAGGAAAATTGCTTGAACCAGGAGGTGGAGGTTGCAGTGAGCCAATGTTGCACCACTGCACTCCAGCCTGAGTGACAGAGTACTCAATCTCTAGAAAACAGGAAATGAGCAGAAAAAAGAGAGAATGGAGGTTGCTTGTTATTGCCTCATAATCTTGTTTATCCTAATTGATGCATTAGAGGAACAGTTTCCTGAGACACAGTTTACCGACTATGAATTTCCTCCAAACCCCAGAGAGCAGGCTTCTCAAGAGGAGGCTCAGTGTAGAATCTCTTTCCAAGGTAGACCCTGATTCAAGTTCCAGCTACAAACCCTCACCACCTGTGAGACCTCAGGCAGTTCCCATCCCCTCTCTGCGGCTCAGTCTGCTCAGTTGTAAAATAGGTTAAATCCCAAAAAATCCCTCACATCTAAAATCTCAAAAATTACAATCCCCCAAAATTTAAATCCATTATGTTGAAATCCTGAGAGATGAATTCTGGGGAAGGGATATGTTTTCAGTTGTACGCCAGAGGGTTGCATCATGCTAGTTTCATGACAGGTGAATGATTACCTTGTTATTTATTTATAAATTAAGCATGGGTTGAGGAGATAGAGAAGGGTACCTTGTCGACAACAGATGGGCTTGGGGACTTAATTTTAGGTGTCAATCAGGCAAGGTGGCTCATGACTGAAATCCTGAAACCCCAGAACTTTGGAAAGACAAGGCAGGCAGTTTGCTTGAGTCCAAAAGTTCAAGACTAGCCTGGCCAACATGGCAAAATCCCATCTCTACAAAAATTAGCTGGGTGTGGTGGTGCCTGCCTGTAGCCCCACCTACTTCAGAGGCTGAGGCAGGAGGATCGCTTGAGCATGGGTGGTCAAGGCCACAGTGAGCTGAGTTCCAGCCACTGCACTCCAGCCTGGGTAACAAAGCAAGATTCCATCTCAAAAAATAAAAAAACTTGTAGGTGTCATGTTGACTGAATGAAAGAACACGTGGAAACCAGGTAAAAGATGATTTGGGGTGTGTCTGGGAGGGTGTTTCCTGAGGAGATTACTGTGTGAGTTTGAGTGGACTAGGAAGGGAAGATCTGCCCTTGAGTTGGCAGGCACCGTCCATCAGCCAGGGACCCAGACAGAACAAATCCAGAAGGCAGGCCAGTCTCTCCTTGAGCTGGGGCAGCCATTCCCTCCACTGCCTTGGACATCAGATAGGCGACTCCACAAAAGTACATTATCAAAATGTTAACTTTGTTTTTCAAGAGGGAATCTCACTCTGTCACCCAGGCTGAAGTGTAGTGGCATGATCTAGGCTCACTGCAACCTCCCCCTCCTGGGCTCAAGTGATTCTCCTGCCTCAGCCTCCTGAGTAGCTGGGATTACAGGCACCTGCCACCATGCCTGGCTAATTTTTGTATATTTAATAGAGATGGGGTTTCTTCACGTTGGCCAGGCTGGTCTCAAACTACTAAACGTAAGTGATCTGTCCACCTTGGCCTCCCACAGTGCTGAGATTATAGGAATGAGCCACCAAACTCAGCCTCACAACGTTCACTTCATATGTAAGCATTGGTACATAAAAAACACTGAAACTCCTTCAATAAATGAAGACACATCCTTTTTGTACATCTGCATTTGTGAAAGACATTTCTCTAAATCTTGGCTACTCTGGTGACTGCATATGCACTGGAGACCCATTGAGCTTTTCTTTGTTTTGACACAGGGTCTCACTCTGTCACTCACAGTGGAGTGCAGTGGCGAACATGGCTCACTGCAGCCTCGATCTCCTGGGCTTGAGTGATCCTCCTGCTTAGGACTAGAGGTGTGTACCTGCTGTGATTTAAAAAACATTTGCTGTGGTTCACACCTGTAATCTCAGCAATTTAGAAGACTGAGGTGGGCAGATCACCTGAAGTCAGAAGTTCAAAACCAGCCTGGTCAACATGGTGAAACCCTGTCTCTACCAAAAATGTAAAATTAGCTGGGCATGGTGGTGGATGCCTGTAATCTCAGCTACTCGGCAGCTGAGACAGAATTGCTTGAAATCAGGAGATGGAGGTTGCAGCAAGCCGACACGGTGCCACTGCACTCCAGCCTGGGCAACAGAGTGAGACTCTATATAAAAAAAAAAAAAAAAAACGCTGGGCATGATGGCCTGCCCCTGTAATCCCAGCTACTTGGGAGGATGAGTCAGGAGAAGGAAGTGGAGGTTGCAGTGAGCCGAAATCACACTGATGCACTCCAGCCTGGGGGACAGAGCAAGACTGTCACAAAAGAAAAAAAAAATGCGCCTGGATAGAGCAACAACAACAAGCAACAAAACCCCCAAAATGATAAGAACAACTGTTTCCAAGACATTTCCTCATTTATTAATTGATCAATTTTTTTTTTTTTTTTTTTTTGAGACAAAGTTTCCCTCTTGTTGCCCAGGCTAGAGTGCAGTGATGCGATCTCGGCTCACTGCAACCTCCGCTTCCCGGGTTCAAGCAATTATCTTGCTTCGGCCTCCTAAGTAGCTGGGATTAGCCGTGCACATCACCACGCCAGACTAATTTTTGTATTTTTAGTAGAGACAGGGATTCTCCATGTTAGTCAGGCTGTTCTCCAACTCCTGACCTCAGGTGATCTGCCTACCTTTGCCTCCCAAAGTGCTGGGATTACAGGTGTGAGCCACCACGCCTGGCTGCAGCTCATACCTTTTTTTTTTTTTTTCCCGCGCACCTTCTTAAGAAAAGTTTGGTTCTGGATCCTTCCTAAGCCTCTGATTTCTAATCCTTCCTAACCCAACTCA